ATCTTTATAAACTAATACATTGTTCATGCATCTGCCGCTTAATGTGCAGGGTTTGTTTCTTCGGCAGTTGCACCCCTGTAGTTGTGGGGACTTTGTGTTTTGAAGGTTGGTAATAAGTTTGTTTAGAATAACATTGTTGTGCTGTATATATATATATATATATATATATATATATATATATATATATATATATATATATATATATCAATTCCCAAGAGGATAGAATCCTGGTAGAACTCAATGTCAGGACAGAGTAAGAATATAATATAAAATGTTCAAACACTAATATTCCATGGTTATAATTTATTACAGTGGAATCATAATCACGATCCAATTCATCAACCCTACAAATACAAAAATTGAATTTGTAGGTCTGATGAACTGGATCGTGATTACGATTTCAATGTAATAAATTATAACCATGGATATTAGTGTTTGATATATTATATACATATATATATATATATATATATATATATATATATATATATATATATATATATATATATACTAGCATGACGCGGCGTTGCCCGTGCTTGATTCAAAAATCGTACGACTCATACAGCAATCGCTATCACTTGACTTAAAATAGTTTTGCCCTTCGTTGCCTTTAAAGGAGTGCCGTTTTCCGTGCTGATGTTGCTACATGCCTTACTTCTTGCCTACGAATTTTTTCTAAGCTCTATAATAAACATTAAATCTGTTACGAAAAAAGAACTAAACAAAATGAACACAAAATGATCAGCTTTAAAAAAGGACTCGTAACTGGAAAAACCGAATAAAAAAAGAATGTTAACAACAAATACTTTTTCACACCCAACCCAATTCTGCAGAATCAGAATCAACGTCGAATTTAAGCAAGCGAATTAGCCAATTGGACTAAAGTGCCATGCAGATTTAAATTTTTCCCACTTGTGACGAATTCAGCTATCGATTTTTGTGCATGCTAGCATGCTAGTTAATATTCTTGTCAGTCAGCTGTTGACTCTCACACTGGCCAATAGAATCTTCCTGTCTATTCGTGGAAGTCAGCTATAGGCTCTCACTCTGGCCAGTAGAAAATGGCCGCAAACTACATGAAAATTTCCGTAGAAGCATGAAAAAATCGATTATTTTCACTATCGATGAGTGTTGGGAAATGCAAAGTCGGTCTTGGTATTCCCGCTAACTTGGAGCATGTGCATGTAAATTTTGGTGCAACTCCGTCGAAAATTGCGGCCTTGCAATAATTACACACACACGCACACACACACACACACACACACACACATACATCCTGCCTTTTTATATATATATATATATATATATATATATATATATATATATATATATATATATATATATATATATTGGTCGAAATTTTTTAGAACAACTGTAGCTAACTTTGATGTTGTTTTTAGTGAAGATCTTTTTTAGTGTTGGGTAAAGATTGAAGTGCTTATGGATTAAATTCTTCCGATGTTAGTTTTATATATATAGTAGAAACTGAAAGGATCTCAAGCTAAGTAAACTTCCGAAATTCAGAGCAAATATGACGATAGGGTTTCTTGATCAGGCCGAGATCTTTTCTGTATTACCTGGGTAAATGAATTGTGTTCAGTTAGTGGCGAAAGAATTATTAAAAAGACAAGTCCTGTAAGGAAGATGCAAAGGAAACGTGCGTTATTTTTATTTGCCAACTTATTCGTCATTGTCCGTGTTCTACTGGCTATTTCGCATTTCACTCAGAATCAACTTCAGAGAAAATAATCTCATTTTCCATTAATTAGCATTTTCGCATAATACAACACGTTCCTCAACGATGCAGGCTTCAAATTCCATGCGCCGATGCACGGATACATCCACATCCACACATATATAGTCGTGTTTGTTACATTCACTTACGCACAAAAATCCTTTGGAATGATATAAATCTATCTCTGACACTACCCAACAACTATAGACTTGGTTGGCAACCAGTCTACGATATTAAGAAATGGCTGGCTAATGCCTCAAATCTACTGCCTAGTCAGTCATGAAACGAACGAGCCATGATTCCACAAACGTGCATCACGTATGACACTTGACATTTATAAATACATTTGCACACATACACACAGAGAGGCACACACACATATGTATACGCATAAATGCGCAGAAGCATTTATCTATCAATCTACGAGAAGTCGTACCAGGATTTATTCTATGTGAACAGAATATTAACAAAATAAGATGAAAACTGGATTCCTAGATAAAGTAATTTGGAAACGCGGTCAGAAAGAACTAAACATCAGTTGTGAGACGACAGACTGTAGGATCGTTACCAAAAAAAGACAAACGAAGATTAGTTATTAATGGGATATTTCAAAATTAAGCAAGTACAGAAAAGATTTTGAAGGATTTGTAGTTTGAAAAAAAAAACTTACCTCATGGACGTCCGTCCGTAAAAGGAATCTCGTGGGGAAGCCATATTGTTTTTATGGTGACAAATTAACGCAAAATCACGGCAACCACGAGATTTGAGAAAATATAAATATGCAGTGTACGAAAGACTACAAACGACCAGACAATACGACAAATACAGCACCTACAGGATTATAACAGACGACAGAAAATGTCTCACAGAAATTCGAAGCTGCGTTAGAATAATAAAAAATGAGTTCCAAAAATTAAACAAAATTTTAAAGATATAGTAAATATTCGTTGAAAAGTGGTCAGATGTTATGCAATTTCAATTCTCTTCTATGGCAGAGAATACTGGACAGTTTCCTCACAGATGAAGAGTAGACTTGAGGCAATACTACAAATACATTGTGTACACAACGAAGACATTTTAAGGGAAATGGGAATGAAAATTACAATCAGAAAAATAAAGTTAATATTTCTGGGAAGCATAATGAACAAAGAGGACTTGGTGAATTGGACATTTGCAGGATATATTGAAAGAAAGAAGGGCAGATAAAAATCTAACAGGTATGTGTAAATGGATTCTAGATCACGGGCTGAGAGGGATAAACATTTTTTCGAGCTCCAAAGAATGAGAATCTGTGTGTATCTCTGAGGTGAGGCATTATGACTACTTGCATTATTTACATTATTCGGACTGTTATCATCAACTTCATTACCATTTTCACAACGTTTCGGCCATTGTACGCTCCGGCCTTCTTCAGGTGACTGGAATTTCGATCGAACCCTTTATTTCGTCCACAGGGGTATATTTTCTAGTTCCACGTGGCATGCCTCTTCCGGATGTCTCAGTTATTTCCCTTTAACTCAACTCTCCGAGATTCTGGTTCACCACTGCTGTGGCCTGGTATTGAACTCACAACTCTTTAAGTCTAGTCACTGGATCTAACCAATGTCTTTATCCATCGGGTCATGTGTGGGCCGAAACGTTGTGAATATAGCAATGAAGATGAGGATAACAGTCCGAATAATGTAAATAATGCAAGTAAAGAATGAGAAGTTAGTGCGGAGGTATGAATGAACACGGTGTTATGAATAATCAAAAGTGGTCTCCCCTTATTTGTTAATCACCTCTTTGAGAGAGCTATTTCTGTTTACTGTGACTATAAAAAGACACTATACGCGAACCTTGTATTTTCAGTTGAGTAAAGCTTTCTTAATACGTACTTTTGTCACACGGTACATACAAGATGTATCTATACGTGTTTAAGGCTACAAAATGAAATGGAAAATGAAATATAACAATCGCTTTTTCATGTACAGACGAATGGTAGATTAAAACAGCTTATTCAGTTTGCTAAATTTTATATGATACAAATGATATCGATGCTAAATTATTCAAATTATATCTAATTTAAAAAAAAATATTATTATAATTATTTACATTATTCGGACTATTGTCTTCATCTTTACGGCCGTGGTACGCTCCTACTTTCTTCAGGTGGTTGGAATGTCGAACTGAACCCTTTATTTCGCTCACTGGGGTAGACTGTCTCTAGTTCCTCGTGCCATGTTTAATGGATATCAGTTATCGGTTATCTCCTGTTAATTTCCCGCTGAAAGTTCTCCACTGCCTTAACCGGGTATTGAACTCACACTCTTTGGGTCCTGTCACTGGATCTAACTATAGCCTTTATACACTGTGCCATGTGTCCTTGAGTATTCTGGGTATTACCTGATATCTTCAGCAATCATTCTTTATCAGTGCTCATATTGCAATTTTTGCTGTTATCATATCATGTTTTTACCAGACCTCATATTGCAATTTTTGTTGTTATTATCGCTTTTCTCTGGCACTCCTTATTACTGGTTCCCATATTGTATTCTTTTCTATGCTTGGTCGGCTCAGGAGATTTTTGTGGCCTAGCATAACAGGAGGGGAAGTGGAAAAATCAGGCGTGGCTGACCACACATGGAGAGAGAGTGGGGTCACCGCCCCCTGTGGGATCAGGTTGAGATCATATTATCTCCTGTTAATTTCCCTCTGAAAGTTCTCCACTGCCTTAGCCGGGTACTGAACTCTTTGGGTCTTGTCACTGGATCTAATTAAGGCCTTTATCCACTGTCCGAATAATGTAAATAATATACATAATACCTCATCTCAGAAATATAGATAGATACTAAAAAAACTTATAATTGTTTGAGGTCCTGTCCTATAGAAATAGTGTAGTAATAAAAAAATTTTTCTAAAAACGTTCTTTAAAAAATTTGATATTCTTAGCAAAAGACGTCGATGATCTCTCTTAATATACGAACTATGGCCGATAAACAGATCGTGTACTGAGTTAGAACAGTGATTACTTGCTAGGAAATTTTCAGATCAATAGCTATCAGATTTTAACCAAGAGTTATTAAGACTAAACAAGGGAAATATCTTTGTAAAAAAATCATATTTGGTACTGTTTTTGAAACAGTAAAAGGACAAAGTAATCATTACTTATATTCTTTACAATCAACAGTTCATACCTAGATACCGAAGTCAAACTAATGAGTTCAAAAATGTCATATTATGGAGAAATAATAATTAATATTCTTTAGCGATAATGTATGTAGTTGAAAATTGGGTAATCTCTCCAAAATAAAACGTATTACATACACCTCATGATAAGCAGCCAGCGTTTTTTGTTTTTGAGTCAGTGAGTATATTTGACAATCCACCGAGAAACGAGCTATATCATTTTGTTGTATTTTTAATTATCGCTCTTTTTTCACATACACATATATACACATACACATACATATACATATAAGCACACACATTCCCTCTCTCCTTCTCTCTCTCTCTCTCTCTCTCTCTCTCTCTCTCTATCTATCTATCTATCTATCTATCTGTTTTTATTCCTTTATATTTCTATTCTGCTGTCGCAGCAAAATAGAAGGAACGCCCAAGAAGTTCGAAAATTAAACGTAGAGAACAACAAAAAATATTCAATGTTGCAGATTCCCTTCAGTCGTAAACACAGAAGTAATTAGTGTCTCAACTGCTACGAACAAAAATGAAGCTCGCTTTTTTTTTAATATGTAGACAATAGAAAACTATTTTCTACACGAAAATGCAAAAATTCATCTTGCCCATAAATAAAAACACCTGTTTCTAACTAAATTTGAGTGGTCTACTCCAAATTTAGATATAATCTTTTTTTAAGATATGGAATCAGAATTTACAGCCATGGGAATATTTTAATACAGTGTTATCGTTAACAATTGCTGAACAAACTGAAGTGTCAAAATTATTTATCCCATTTTAAAAAAATCTATTTGCATATAAATTGCTTTTTTGGTAGGATTGCATTGTGATATTCGGTGAATGGCGGTGTATTTTGAAGTTCTATTCTGTTAACTCGATCCTCATAATCATCTGTGCTGACTACAAATATTCTCTTCAGATTCGTGCGCCAAAATTAAATTCAAAAACAGTGAAGATGAAAATATTGACGCTTTATTTTTAGTTTTAGTTTCATTATTAACTCATTTCAAAGAATTCTTTTCAGTGTGTGATGTCAGAAACCTTGGAGAACTTAACACTCACAGGACACAAAGAAGAGCAGAGGAAGAGAGTGAATAAATTACGTATGGAGCAAATAGGAAACAAATTGCCAAAGAGACAAGATCAAATCGTAATAATCAAATATTGGTAAAAGAAACAAAAGGCAGGAGGCTGTGGAGAGCCATGATTGGCACAAGAACGAGCGATGATCACCCTTCTCTTTCCATATGTGGTCAGCCACGCCTGATTTTTCCACTTCTCCTCGTGTTATACTAGGCCACAAAAATCTCCTGAGACGACCAAGCATAGAAACGAATACAATATGGGAACCAGTAATAAGGAGTGCCAGAGAAAAGCGATAATAACAACAAAAATTGCAATATGAGCACTGGTAAAAATGGTTGCTGAGATTAGGTTTATAATACCCAGTCCTCAAGGACACATGGCACAGTGGATAAAGACGTTAGTTATATCCAGTAACAGGACCCAAAGAGTGTGAGTTCAATACCCGGTTAAGGTAGTGGAGAACTTTCAGACGGAAAATTAACAGGAGTTAACTGATAACTGACATCCATTAAACATGGAACGTGGAACTAGTTCAGTTCGATATTCCAAACACCTAAAGAAAGCCGGAGCGTACCACGGCCGAAACATTGTAATAAATATGGCAACAAAGATGAGGACAATAGTCAGAATAATGTAAATAATGTGCATAATACCTTATCTCAGAAATATAGACAAATAATTAACTTGCTCTTCATTGAAGAAGAATAGAATTAATGGAGGTTATTAAAGAAATACATATTCCCAATGTTTGTATTTTCTCCGATTATTAGCATTATTATATCGAGGATTTAATAACATCTTATGTACGGACGAAACAGAATAGCTGAAAGGAATGACAAATATGTTTTGTTTTCAGAGCAGATTTTATACAGCTAAGTCATAAACAAAATTATATACTCATATTTACACAGAAAAAACTATAACACACATCTACATAACAAGCAGTGTGAACAGGAACGAAAATATAGCGCCTTACTTGTAATAACTTCCAACGGGAATTGTAGCTGCCGTAATATTCTTCTGTTTCTGAAGAAGCCATTTTTAGAATTCCAGATTAGAGTTATATCACTAGCAAGGACAAATTGCTCTCAAACAGGAGACGGCGAGACATGGATTTTCCCAACATGAAATCTGCGAACCGGAGATAGTTGCTATATCTGGTGAAGATATATTCCCAGAGGAAAACAGCGCCATGAGATTGTGACCTTCTCACTGATTGGCCCGGGCAGAGTGAGGCAGGTCTATACTAAAAAACAGTTCAGTTTGACTCCTGACCGTCTGACCACTTTCGTCACTCTATGAAGTGACGTTACTAAGCGCCTGTCATGTGACTCATGTGACTTCATCTCAACCAAAAGTTCTAATCGCCTGGTAAACTTCCTCGTAGAAAGAAAAATTGATAGAAAATTACTTTTATTTTATGGTGAAACTATTTTATGAGCGTTAACTTTTGGAGCATAAGATAATAGATCTATAGGCATGAGTTAGTTGATTGACCAGCTAGTCCCTACTTCAGAGGCCTGCTCAATCACATTAATGTTTTCGTCAGCACCCAAAGAACTAACTTATCGTTTATACTGCGACTATTCTGAACGGGCCCTAGTTACAGTTTTTGACAGAGAGTACGTAATCTGCATTTGAACAAGTCCATTAAGCTCAAACCCTCAGTCACGAGGATTTGTTGTCTCTTGCTGACACAACCTTCGATGGCTTCTGACAGTCTCTTTCTACACAATTTTAATTACAAGGTTAACATCAACCAGTCACCTAAATCCATCATGGTGAGATTCGAAGCCGAGTCTCAATTTTACAGCGATAACGTTCTCATCACTTGGCCATGTGTTCACTGATTAAGATAAATAATACCTCTTATTCATTGGATATATAAATAAACATATAAACATACAGCCATTCAAATTTTAGAGTCCCTTTGGAGAATATTTTACAAGTAAATAAAATGTTTAAAACAGTACTTAGATAACAGAAATAAATATGATACGGGTTTACCCTTTTGGCTTTTGATGCAGAGAAAGTGTCTAATTGGGAATGTTGTTCTACAGAAGGCTACTGAGAATAACATAAACTGAACATAGAACTCACCCGGATGTTTTAAGAAAAATAGAATAAAAAATAACACTTGAACAGATGAACTGACAAATAATGAGAAAAGAGGTTTGGAAAATTTGATACTCAAAAGAACTATAGTAGGCAAGAGGAAAGCGGCGAGTAACCCTTCTAACAAAATTAGCTGGTCGAACAATGAATGAAAAGTATTATAAAGAGATTACTAAGAAATACAAAGAATAGAGAGTTGTGGAGGGCCATGTTCATTTAATCCCTGAAGGAACACGGCACACAGAAGAAGGAGGTTCTAAAATCCAGTTTTATGCTATTGTTGTGGAGTATTTTCACAGTGGAGGCTTGTATTTCTAATAAGTCGTACAAAACGTTAGGAACTTGGAAAATAATAGTCAATGACGCAGCAAATCTAGTTGTGATGGTTGGTACTTCAAATGTCCGAATCTTGACTGACGCGCTCAACACCGTTCGGTATTTATCATTTCACCCACGAGAAACGAATATGGCACAAGGCCGGTTTTATTGTGGGTTTCTCCGAGCCCGTAGGCTCGGCCAAAAAAATAGCCTTTGAAGCCGATTAGACGGGTTCAGGGCCTATCTACCTCCACGGACGAAACCTTGCCCTTCGGCAAAGCCTCGTCGGGTTCCTCTGCTAACGCAGAGAGTTCGACAGAAGGCGTGCGCAGTCAGAGACCGCTCAACACCGTTCAGTATTTATCGTTCCACCCACGAGGACCGAATATGGCACAAGGCCGGTTTTAATGTGGGTATCCCCGATCCCGTAAGCCCGGCCAAAAATATAGCCTTTTGAAGCCGATTAGACGGGTTCAGGCCCTGTCTACCTCCCCGGACGAAACCTTGCCCTTCGGCAAAGCCTCGTCCAGGTTCCTCTCTGCTAACGCAGAGAGTTCGACAGAAGGCGTGCGCAGTCAGAGACCGCTCAACACCGTTCTGCAGACTTGCCACTGCTACTCCTACTTATTATCTATGAGAGAGTCCATTACCAAAGAATAGGTACTATGGCACAACAGTTACTGAGTGATTGATTCCGTCTGGTTAGATCGGACATTCATAAGTCTCTCACGCCAACCATGACGGCCCTCCATAAATGTCGAAAGGTCATTAGAGAGGCATTCTGTGTCATAACGTAGCCTGTCAATGAAGGTGTGTGCTGGGAGACAAACACGTCTTGCTCCATAGATAGGTGTCCAGAAAACTAGATCAATCGCGAGTTCTTTTCGCCAGCAGTGTCCCGCAAACGGCATTCTGCCTTCGTGTGATATCGTAGAAATATCAGGGATGGGCCCATCGACCTGTGATTGAGTTGGATTTTGTCTCCAGGAGATGTTAAGTATAACTTTCAGCATCCGTGTGTAGGTTCTATCGAGCCTAGACTGTAGAGTTTTAATTAAAGCCCATGTAGTGGCATCATACATTAACACAGCCTCTACAGAAGCTCGAAAGACAAGATGCAACCAGGTTCCCTTTCGGAAGTTGACGATTCTCCACATATTCCTATTCTCTTATTATCTGTGAACTGCCATGATGTTTTAGGAAAGATAGTGGAGTGATCCCGGTTGCTTTGTCTACTCTTGGATTTTACTTCTAGTAAGACAACAGCCAAAACCAAATAGATTATTCTGTCCTGCTATTTTAGCAATAGCTAGGGAAAGGTGGATGCATGCTTTGTACAGTAGAAATAGTACGAAATAGACTCAATCACAACTGAGAACTTTAATCTCCGATTCCACTTTCCGTGTTGATAGCCGCCACCCTAAACACACGCCCGTACAAACTATGCAATTTTAAAAACATATTTTACCGTGTTGTTGGCAACAGTCTTCTTCTCTGTTGGTCACACCAAAATATTAATCTCTTGCCAACAATTGATACTTCCGAGCAGTCGAGAAATTTCCACTGGGTGGAGATGATCGAGGAGAACAGGGAAGCCTGCCAAGAAAGAAAAGAGAACGCGAGTTGAAAAGGAAATAATGCGTCTCAAGAAAGATCCGATTCGTCCTTGTATTTTTATCAATCACCTTTCTTTATTAATGTTTTTCCTATTTTCCAAAACACGACTATGGTTTGGCTTTCTTTAACTTCCTCTTTAGGTCAGTACATGTCAAGCGAAGCAATCAGACATTTGTTAATATATTTATTTACGCCGCCCTGTTTGATTACTTTCATTTTATTTTTTACTCTAATCATAATTATTCAACTTTTTAAATCCATCCTTTTCCCGCTCTTTCTTTCTTTCCTTCTTTCTTTCTTTGAGACTCTGTAGTTCATCATTGGGAAACTTGATTTCTCTCTTTCTTCCTTTCTTAAATCATTTATTTATTTATTTTCTTTAAGATTCTTTTGTTCTACATTGGCACTCTTACTTTCTTTCTTTTAAATTTGAAACTCTTTTGTTCTTCATTAGTGCCTTTCTTTCTTTCTTCACCTTCTTTCTTCATTGGCACATTTTCTTTATTGGATTTCTTTCTTTCTTTTTTCTTTCTTTCCTCTTTTTTCTTTCTTGATTTATTTGTCTGTCTTTCTTCTTTTAATATTCTCTCTTTCATCATTGACACTCCTTCATCACTGGCTTTCTTTCTTTCTTTAAGAGTCTTTTATTCTTTCTCTGAAACTCTATAATTCGTAATTGGCACACTTTCTTCCTTCTTTTACATTCCTATCTTCATTGGCACCCTTTGTTTTTTCATTGGCTTTCTTTCTTTCTTTCTTTCTTTAAGCCTGCTTTGTTCTACATTGGTACCCTTTCTTTCGTCCTTCCTTCCTTCCTTTCTTTTCTTTCTTTCTTTCTTTCTTTCTTTTTACTTTCTTTCTTTCTTTGAGACTCTGCAGTTCATCATTGGCACACTTTCTTTCTTTCTTTCTTTCTTTCTTTCTTTCTTTCTTTAAGATTCTTTTGTTTTACATTTACACTCTTTCTTTATTTCTATCTTTCTTTCTTTCTTTCTTTCTTTCTTTCTTTCTTTCTTCCTTTCTTTCTTTCTTTCTTTCTTTCTTTAAGCCTGCTTTGTTCTACATTGGCACCCTTTCTTTCGTCCTTCATTCCTTCCTTTCTTTCTTTCTTTTTTTCTTTCTTTCTTTCTTTCTTTCTTTCTTTCTTTCTTTGAGACTGTGCAGTTCATCATTGGCACACTTTCTTTCTTTCTTTCTTTCTTTCTTTAAGATTCTTTTGTTTTACATCGACACTCTTTCTTTATTTCTATCTTTCTTTCTTTCTTTCTTTCTTTCTTTCCTTCATTGAGACTCTTTTGTTCTTCATTAGCACATTTTCTTCATTGGATTTCTGTTTTACTTTCTTTCTTTCTTTCTTTCTTTCTTTCTTTCTTTGTCTACACTTGAGTTTCAAATAGACGGGCTGGGATGATTTTTTTTTTCTTTTGGTGAAAAGCCGATCGGTGACGTCCTTATTCAAACAACACTTTTAGAAAATATTCCAACAAATCGCTTAGCCCTAGAATGCCGCAGCCTTAAAAGGTACGAGAAAATTACCTCAGTATTCAATAAAAGGTGTAGGTGGAATACGGATGCCCGGGATACAACCCCGCTAAAAAAAAAAAAAAAAAGAAAGAAAGGAATAATTTTTCCGTCTCGTCTATTTGCAGATAGGTTAATCTATCATCCGGTTTACACTCTTCTCCTGACAATAGAACAGTAGAACGACATTTATCCCTTGTTTCCGGTTCAGGATTGAGTTTCCGGTTCATTGCAAAGTCGTCTCATTCTTTTTCACTCTAAGTAACCTCTTGCGTCTTAGTGTAATTATCGCCTTGCGTTCGGTGAATCTATTTAAAAAAAACAAAAAAACAATATATTCCTATAAGCATGAACATATACATCTTTTATGCATGAATGAAAGAATATCAGCCTTTTTTACCTACCTACATACGTGTCTGTCTATTTATCTTCATACTGTTTTTATGTATATATATATATATATATATATATATATATATATAAATACATACATATATATATATATGTATATATAAATACATATATATATATATATATATATGTGAGTGTGTGTGTGTGTAATTCAGAATAAAATACAAAAGCATAAATGTAAAAAGTGTGATTGATTTTGGCATTCAATAATCCAGAAAAAAATAAAATATCCTGAATTGCACAATCTATCTATCTATCTATCTATCTATCTATCTATCTATATATATATATATATATATATATATATATATATATCTTTTCAGTTCTTTGATCTCTTTCTGCTTTCCTTTCTACGTCTCCACTGACCTTTAGTCCTCTCGTTTTATAACTTGTTTATTCTCTTTTCCGTATTCTTTTACGTTTTTTTTTTTATCGGTATTTGGTCTCGCGGAGTTGTTGGTAACGAATTAATTTTTTGAACGAGGTTCTCACTCAACCTTCCAATTATTGACCGTTCAACCGTATCGAGAGAAAAAAAGTAAAGGATGGAGGTGAACGCATAGAAGGAGGCGGGAAAAAGACCACCAAGAGAGAGAGAAAGAATATGGAGGAGGGAAGATAGGAATTGAGAAGAAAGAAGGAAGTTTGAAAACAGGAAATTAAAGGAATCATTTAGAAATCAAAGATTGACGTAGATGCAAAAATCTAAAAGAGAAAGTAATCGGAAGTGAACAACAAGAAATAGAGAGAATTTGATGATTGGTTGAAAAACAGAAACTTAAAAAAGAAAGAGAGGAGAAACCTTTTAAGATCCTGAGAAGAGGAAGGAAGGAAGGAAGGAAGGAAGGAAGGAAGGAAGGAAGGAAGGACGGTGAAAAACGGAAAGTTTCAAAGAAAGAAAGAATGGAAGAAAGAAAGGGTTCTAATGTAGAACAAAAGAGTCTTAAAGAAAGAAAGAAAGAAAGAAAGAAAGAAAGAAAGAAAAAAAGAAAGAAAGAAAGCCGGTGAAGAAGGAGTGCCAATGAAGAAAGAGAGAACGCAAAAGAAGAAAGAAAAAAAGAAAGAAAACAAGAATGAAAAAAGAAGAAAGAAAGAAAAAAGAAAGAAAACAAGAATGGAAAAGAAAGAAAAAAGAAGAAAGAAAGAAAAAAGAAAGAAATACATAAATCCAATAAAGGAAGGTGAAAAACAGAAACTTAAGAGAATGATATTAATAAGAGAGGAGAAACCTTTTAAAATACAGAGAAGAGGAAGGAAGGAAGGAAGGAAAGAAAGAAAGAAAGAAAGAAAGAAAGAAAGAAAAGGTAAAACGATTATGAAGAAAACTTTGGGAGAATAAAAGAAAAAGCATTGCCGCCAAAACAAGTAGAATTAACAATAAAATCAACAACGTAATTATTTTGAATCATTTCACCCCAAGCAAGGCGATAAAAGCCACTAAGACACAAGAAGTTACAGAGAGTGAAGAAAACTGAGAAAACGTTATTGTGGAAAGAGACAGTAATAAAACTATCGGATCCATTAAAGAGATAACGATTGGCGTCGCATTTAAAGTTTAGAGGATCGTCGGTTACAGGAAAGAAGTAGTTGGAAGAGAGTTCCACGGGAATGGAGTGCAAAAGAAGAAACTATTAGAATAGGACTTACGGTTACATATAGCAATTTTTAAAGTAAAATAATGAGACCTAGCTGCCAACCTAGTACTGCGCTTGAAATTGTGAAGTTGACGTACCACCGAGGAAAACTCATCAGAACAATTATCATTAAAAATTTATAGAAAGGAACAGAGAAGCTACAGTGGGAAGAGTTATTAAAACCGAGGACTGATACCATTGCAGTTTCTTTTTTTGTGGGGGGAGGTTGTCAAGAGTCTTTTTATATCTACCAGAAGCGTGAGACCAGATGTGACAACAATATTCAATATATGACGGATGGTAGACTTATAAAGTTTCAAGGCAGATCCTGGCGAGAAAACATCTTCTCCAGCGACAAGGTATAGAAGACAGAGCGAAATAAATATTCAAAGTCCAAACAAAAATGCAATCAAGTGATTGTTACAAATTTTGGTGAAAACAAAAACAGCAATAAATAGAATAAAAAATCATATAAAGAGAATATGTTCCAAATTTCTTGTAGGAAGCATATTTATTATAAAAATATTGATTAAGATTGTTTATGTTCTGAAATTTGATATTTCATGAAGAGGTTCATCCCCGGTTCCCTGTTTAGTATTGGTTTTTGGTTCCTTCTAAAGTCTTCTTCAACTCTTCTGAACTCTTTTATTCGCTAATTAAATCTTGACCTCTTCAAGTCTAGAATTTGCTGTATATCTTTCCTGTAATCTTGCCCTTTCTTAAACTAATACAACTTCACAGAGTAACCCCTACTTTGGGCCTTGTATTGGGTGAGTATTGGTAAAAAAAAATGTGGCGATGGCCAAAAGTGGATGGGGAAAGGTTAGTCGGCACTGACTATCCTATATAGTTCGATAGACAGAGGAAGAGGGCGAACCGGATGACTGATGAACCTCTCTTCAAACAGACGAGACAGATTAATTAAAAAAGAATATCCATACCGGGCATCCATATACATCTACCCCTTTTATTAAATATTGGGTTAAATTTCTCGTACCGTTTAAGGATGCGACATTCAAGGATTAAGCGTTTCGTTGGAATATTTCCTAAAAGTGTAGTTTGAATAAGGACGTCACCGATCGGCTTTGCGCCAAAAGAAGAAAAATCATCCCAGCCCGTCTATTCGGAACTCAAGTAAAGACAAAGAAAGAAAGAAAGAAAGAAAGAAAGAAAGAAAGAAAGAAAGAAAGTGTTGAGGGGTTCTCCCCTTTTTACACAAATGGACTCACCCAGGGTATACATATACTACTACTAGTGAATACCCGGGAGAAGGACGAACGAGAAAGAACGAGAACGAACGAACGTAGCGAGCAAGAGTCAAAGTGAGCATGCGCGTAGACTCAGTAAGAAGTCATACAGCAAGACGTCGATACCAAAGCCTGTATATATGTTTTGCTACTAACCCGCATTCCTGGAACTACTAACCTGCATTACCAGTTTGTATTATTACGTTAATACATTTATTTTCCTATATTCATTCTTGGCGTTTGTTATTTATTGGTACCGGATTTCAACCCGGAATCCACAACAGAAAGAAAGAAAGAAAAAAAGAAAGAAAGAAAGAAAGAAAGAAAGAAAGAAAGAAAGAAAGAAAGTATTTGGATCCTTCTGTTATACTCTATGATTACGGAGGCAAGACCAAGCCAAACATTGAGTATTGCTGCCATATATGTACTGGAATTACATAGTCTTCATTTTCTTGTCTTGATAAAGTTCAAAAGCAACTACTGGAACGTGTGGGTGATAAATTATCTTTCACCATGCAACGCTTTTTTGTACAGACGAAACATTGCGAGTTCCTCTCTGCTCCATCACCATTCTTTAGTCCCACCACCCCTTACTTTTATATCTGGGACCCGCTAGAGCACGTTCACAAAGGTCAATCCATTTGTATTACATTAGTAAGGAGATAAGTCCAACTTGGACAGTTTTCCTAAAACTGTTGCCCTGTGGAACAGACACCCGGAAGTATGATTGACCTTTTCAAGCCTAGGTGTAACTTTTATCTTTCCTGCATAATACCATGAGCTTCACTTCGTTCATGCAACACCACAGAGTAACTCTCTACTTTGAGTGGCTCTTGGGTCCACGTTGATACAATAAATAATTCGTTTCAAAATGCGGAGAAGTTTAACGAGTATGGTGGCAGACACCTGAAGAGGCTGGAGGTTACAAATGTTTTTGTAACGTTGTTTTCTAACAATCAAGATGAGAACGCTAGTCCGAATGAATAGGCATATAAGAAAAAAAAACATAAAAGAATGAAATGTTTTGTAGCCGGTAAAGAAGAAAGAATAATGTATAAATTGAATGAATTTAAAATGTCTAAACAAGTGAAGAAAGATAAAATATATAATGGAAAAAGTAAAACAAAAAGAAGAAAGCTGCTATTCAGTGAATAAAGAAGAAAAAAATCACGAAATAATTGATGGAAAATCTCTACAGAATAAAAGTAGATCAATCTACAAAAGATTGAGAAGAGAAAATATTTATGAAGAACAAATCAAAAGAAGTGAAGCAGACGACAAAAGGTGAAAGAAATGATTGAGAGGCATAAATGAAGATCAAAAGTTCAAGCGGAAGGAACGAATGAAATAAAAGAAAGAAGAAATCAAGTAAGAAATGAAAAAGTTGTCAAAAAAATATGGCAGACATTTTAAACAAATGTAAAAACAGAACAAACTTGAGATGTTGAAAGGATGAATAAAATGAACTATCAATA